GCGACGTTATCATATTAAAGAATGCTGGCTATCTAAAAGCCAAAACAAACTGCCGTCACTGCCAGGATACAATACTTTTAGTAGTTAAACTGTACGTAACCAAAAATACGGTGTAGTAGTCCTTGCGAAAAAATATATAAACATATCGGTCGAAGAATCTAATATGCTAGATTGTAGTAGATTACAGGGAAAAATTGGCCATGAAACTGCTATCCTTGCTGTTTACAGACCTTGTGGTTTTAAACAAATAGACAATTTTATCACGTCATTAGACTATACACTTAAGCAAATGTTGCCATTCAAAAATATAATGGGGTGATATAAAGATAGATCTCAACCCAGAAGGCGGTGATGGCAAAGAAAATTACTATCTTAATATCTGTGCATGCCAGGGCCTGCTTCCAGCACATTTACTTCCTACTCATCTAAGTGGTTTCTATTTAGACTATACTTTGCTAAAAACAAATTTACCATCTATAACCCTTGTCACCAATCTTATAGTAACCGATTACAATATATTGACGAATTATTTACGAATTAAATCGAGTATGCAATATGGATTCAGACCAAAATTGTCCACTGCAAATGCTGTGCAGGAATGACCGATAGACTCTCAAGAATTAAATATTTATTTACATAATTATACATTTCCAGGCCTAATTCACCCTCCGCCCCCCCCCTCCCCTGACATTGTAGCGGAGTTAAATAGAATAACTATCCCAGGAGAGTACCAGCACCCCTAGTGACGGAGAATCCCTCGCTGATCATCCTCATCCAAGCTACCCTACTCTTCTTGAGCGTGGGTGCTCAGGCTGCCCCGCATATCTGGGAGATGGAGGGGAGGAAGCGAAATTATAAACCTGCTCGGGGCAAACGGAGTAATAAGACTAAGGCGACACCTGTCACGCTATCTGTGAATTTCTGCAACATTAGGGGACTTTATTCAAACCTTAACACCGCGCCGTCCAATACCATCTGGAAACGGTAAAGCCGGTCTAACTTTTTCTAATCTAGACGCAGGTGTCGTTGGTGTACTTCGTACCTATCCTACTCGGGGTACAAATGAGAACACTTCTTAGTGCCCCGAGCTGAAGTTTACGTGTACGTCAGAGAGGACATCTGTTTTCGAAGCCTCGGCAGCCTTATGGCTGCGCGTAGACAGCGCCGAACATCTCCACGTCTACGAGTGCCTCTATAGGTCCCATAGCGGTAATGCTGACACAAACGGACTCATCGACCTCATCCAAATGGCTGCAGACTCCGTGCTACAACAGGTTTCATCCGCAGTAATCGTGATGCTTGCGGATTTTAATGCCCACCATACTGAATGGTTTGGTTCCCGTTTAACCGACCATTAGAGCAAATCTGTTTATAACTTTGCTTTGGAAGATGGTCTCACACAACTTGTTACTTTGCCTACGCGGATCCCTGGTGTGAAAGATCATGTACCTTCCCTGATGGACCTTCAGCTGACCTGCTATCCCGACGGATATCAGGTCTCCATTGATGCCCATCCTGACTCCTCGGACCATTATCTGATCTAGAGTACGTTTCCACTCACGCTCCCATCGCGGTTGCGTTCTGCAGGTTGCCGCCGTGATTGACATTATAGGTCAGCCGATTGGGCGATCTTTTTTGCATTCTACCCTTGGGGGCGAGTTTGTTTCTCGCCGGATGATCCCAGCGTTGTTGCTGATTCTGTGGGTGATGTGGTGCTACAGAGAATGGAACCTTTTATTCCATCATCTGTGGTACCTATCGAAGGCAGAACCCAGCCATGGCTCGGTCGCTTGTGCAAAATTGCATTACGCCATAAACAGGAGCGCCAGACCAGGGCTCACGCATCGACGTTTCGGTATACAAATACCAGCTCTCTTAAAAATAAGTATGATTCCACTTCCAGGTCCTTCAATAGTGTCATTGCCCAGGCAAAGTCAGAGCACAACGGTAATATTGGCGAGAACCTAGTGCGGCTTCCTTCAGGAACACGTGCATTCTGGTCTCTCGCCAAGGCTGTTCAAGGGAACTTCTGTCAGCCATCTCTCCCATCTCTGCACAGGGAGGACGACTCACTGGCCCATGGTAAAGGAGCAAGATCTGATGGAATCTTTCTTTGCGTCCAACTCGACTCATGATGACAAGGGGAACACATCGCCGACCATTCCGCGGTGTGAGTGCTCCATGCAGAATGAGCTGTTTACCCAGCGCATGGTGCACAGAGCACTCCTCTGTCTGGACGACAACAAGTCGAGTGGACCTGATAGCGTTCCTCTTATTGTGCTAAAGACGTACGCTCCGGAGTTGGTGGTTGGACTCCCTAGGCAAAACAGCTTTAGTGCACCCGATCCCTAAAAAAGGTCACCGCTCAGATCCGTCTAACTACATGCCTATCGCTATCACCTCCTTGTTCTCCAAAATAATGAATATCCATTATAAAATGCCGACTCATGAAGTACCTTGAGGATCACCAGCTGATTAGTGACCGCCAGTACGGTTTCCGTCGGGATCGCCCAGCTAGCGATCTTCTGGGTTACCTAACCCATAGATAGGTGGAGGCAGTAGAGTCCAAGAGGGAGGCGTTGGATGTGAGTTTGGATATAGCGAAGGTCTTCGATCGGGTTTGGCACAAAGCGCTTATAACGAAGATTCTTTCCTATGGGCCTCCCGAGAAATTGTGCAATTGGATCACCAGTTTTCTTGTTGATCGGAACGTGAAGGTCATAGTAGACGGTACATGCTCCGATTACAAGCCCATTAATGCTGGTGTTCCACAAGGCTGCATGCTATCACCAACGCTGTTCCTTCTGCATATCAATGACATGTTGCAAACCGGTAACATTAACTGCTATGCGGATGACAGCACTTGTGATGCTTTATACTCCGGCCGTGCCAATATTGCGCGGGAAAACGTCGCTGAGTACCGAGACAAACTTGTGTCTGAAGGCGAGAATTTGTTGAACAAAGTCTCGTACTGGGGACGACTAAATCTCGTCCAATTCAATCCCTAAAAGACACACGTTTACGCGTTTACGCGCTTAAGGCCGAATACGAAGAGAACTGGCGAAAATTAATGTATTTCTCTTGACTAGAACTTTGACCTGAAGTAATTCTAAGCTTTAAAAAATTTTTGTAGGTAGGTATGTTTGTTAGGGTCCTTCACAAGGTGACCGTCATTTTAAAATTTTAAATTAAATGAATATACCAACAAATAAAAAAATTTAAGAAATGATATATAAAATTATTGTTCTTCCAAAACTCTGTGAATTTTAATTTAGGAAAAATTCTTTTACGTAAAAATGTTTGTATTGTGATTCCGAAGGGGCCTGCTATCTTTATTTTCAATACAAAATATTATTTATTAACATAATTCGTTTTAATTAAAAACACCTAATAATAATATCGTACATTGCCAGATAAAAGTTTGCCGTAATAAATTACCAGGCGCTTCGACGTGTGACGTAAGGTAATAACAGTCGATGTGTCTGTTTCGAAAATCGTTAATTTAGTGTTTTATACGTGACTATAAATGTGAATATGGATAGGAAAAGAAATAAATGTTACCTAAGTGGTAAAACAAAGAGAGTTTATCACATGAACGCTACTCGAATGTTGTATTTTGAGGTACACTTATATTTTTGTAAGGTAATTTTTTGTTTGAGGCTCCCTAATAGGTTGCATTTTTACTCATTTACATTAGCCAAACTGATAATTTATACTTTTCTAGTTTCAAGTGAGAAACACTAAAAATGTAAATATCAAGACCCAGTCGGAAAAGAATGTACAGAGTAGTGCAAGCACAGAGACCGCAAATAATGTCATAGTTAATGTATTGTTCGAAAGCATGGAGTAAGTACATAATTAAGAAAAACCGAAATACTTCGGATGTGAAGTGATTGACCAGTCGGAGTAGTCTTGTGAGAATTTACATACACAGTACCTATGCACACTATGGGGCAATCACCGACTTTTTATTTATTTTTTTCTTTATTATTTAATGCAATTTGCATTACGGCATCTTGTAAGACTCACAAGAACAAACATTTTCAGTTATATGAGGTTCTTTACGTACGATGCACCAATTAAGAAAAAACATCGTTATCAATTCAATAACTTTTCGAACAATATTTTATAACGAATAAAGTAGCAGAATTTATAATCTATAGGAACTAATATTACAAATAAGAAAGATTTATTTAAGAAGTAAGCAATGCTCTCTGTGTTGTTCATTACTCTGCATGCTGAGCTAGCTCAGTCAAATATAATATAGGTAATCAAAGCCCGTACGGCTTTGATTATATTATACATGTCTATATAAACAAAGCGTACTGGCGGCGCGTGGTTTGCTGCGAAACGAGCAAGGTCATTCGCGTCGTATTCGGCCTTAAGAGTTGCATTAAAAGCCGCAACATTCCGCCCTATCTTATTCCCATCTCTTATACAAATCCTGCAATGTCCTCCCAGTGCATTAGTTATTTGTTATGAGTAATTAAAACAGCTCCTTTTGCCCTATAAAATAGAGAGAGAAAGACGCAAAGTAAAAGTAAATGAAACTAACATTAGAATAAGGCATTCTTTCATGTATAGATTTTGTACATTCCCTGGTCCTTTTCAATCAAATCCAGTCAATGCTATTTTCTACACGTATTCATTAAAAAGGCTAGATTGTAAAAATGTTATTCAAATATGGTTACAAAATTTTGTCATACGATGATACGGAAAAGTTGCTAATTGTTTTAAGTAAATTATTGTTATAAGTTAAATTAATGATAATATATTTTACCGAACCCTAATTAGCTTTCCTTTTATATAAGAAACAAAAAATATTTGTTAGTGTATCTGTTAGCACACACACCTGAGATACAGGTTTATCCTAGTTCAGGAGCCTGTTATTGTACACTATTTTAAATTAATTGTACAGTTTATTGAAATAAAAATTATTAATAATTATTAAAAAATTCCATTCCATTCCATTCTATTCCGTTGTATAAAGGAGCACTCACGTGAACAGCAGCGCGTGGTGGTCGAGGTACGCGAGGGAGGTGACGCAGCGCAGGTGCGCGCGGTAGCTGTTGAGCAATAGCGGCAGCGGCTGGTCGCGCACGCTGCGCTTGGCGCGCCCCTCCACGCGGTCGCGCCACAGGAACGGGAACCGCAGCCGCAGCCGAGGCATGCTGACGTGCACCTGCTCACACAAATACTTACTTTTTAATTCAATATGGTTTATGAATATTAGCTCGATAAAATACCTCCATCCTGGAAATTATAAGCAAGAAACAGAATGATACTTTTAATAAATAAACTGGTTTTTTTTAAAGAAAATAATGGCGATAAAAAGCATACAGTCCACCTGTTGTCCCACTGTTGGCATATATACATCTACACCTATTCTCACATCGAAATGCAATTTTTTTTGAATAATCTGTGCAATGTGCATATTATTTCAAAACATATGGTGGCAAAACCTAATAAAAAAATGTCATCTTTCAACGCAATTTTAATAAATATTTACCTTCTCTTCAGTGAGATAGTTGGTCATGAGCCAGACTTTAACGTAGCCCACGGTGGTGCCAGTGAATAGATAATCGTTATTGACATCCGTGGCAAAGGCAGACACATAGTCCCCGGCTGTGTGGATGCCTTGGAACGAACCCTTGTACCCACCAGCCGGGTGGTCCGACCAGCATTGCACCTGTCCGTTTTCCAGAGCAAGCATGAGCGATGCTGTAGAAAAATTTACAAGGACTATTAATTTTTAACCTCAATATTCTACAATAGTAGAGTCCAAATTTGGTACATGTGTGACACAATTATATTAGTATCTACAGAGCCGTTTTTGACTTTGTACCATAGAAAATTAGCATGGGATATAACATAATTAAGAGTTTGACGTTGTCTCTGACATATTATGAGCAACTTCGCTGTGAAAGAGGTCACGTAATGGTGGAATAATTTTCTCGAGAATACTTGGAATGCATAACTGTTTATTAAAAATCCGTAGGGCTCCAAATCGGGTTGTTTGCTTTCTATGAAAGTGCACTTCGGCTTACTGCTCTTTACAGAGTAACCATCAACATCATTACAGTCCTTCATGGATTCGCTGCTGAGCTTCAACTTTCAGCTCGTTCTGCGTAGATCGAACCAAAAATTAATAACTAAAAGATGAAGGTTCCCTTCATAACAATAACATCAGGACGTTAAACATTTCATTCCCCTCCTCCCTCCAGTTACCGTGGGTGCTGTAAAGTACCTTTTTTAATTTTAGTTTAAATTAAACGAGATAAAATTCGTAAAATTCGTTTTACTTGTATTCCATGTGTGTAGTGTTTGCGTAAATAAGAAATAATTATGTCTTGCGCAGTTACAATTTTACCAGTAGTAGTGTATTTTATCAGCTGGAAATCTGATTAAAAGATCAAGATATTGTTGCTCCGCTAAATGTATGCTCGTGCTTACCGACATGCATGCTGAAGGGACGCGTCTCAAGGAATATCATGGCGTGAACGGCAAGCTGGCGCATGCTCTGCACCTGCGCTGGCAGCGATACGCTTGACACGCGCCGGCCTCGACCCCTCGTGCTCAGGCTGGGGAAGATGGGGAGCTAAAAGTCCAGAGTCAATAGTCCAGTAAGAACACTGTCACTGTCACTGTCAGTATCGTGTAGTGGCGGTGTAAGAAAATCCATTTCCCCATATCGTCCCGTGGGTGTTGCAAGAGGCGCCAGAGGGAAACAAACCAGAAAATGGGCAGCAGCATCCTCATGTAACATCTGGGGGGGGGGGGATGTCATAGTCCCGGGCTATTGTCAGCTTCAATATTAAATTTAATTTCAAAATTAATATTCAATATCTAACATGGGGACATCAAGCTAAAGTGCTTCCACCCTGTTTTGGACTACCACTATCGCCTGTTACGACACCCACGAGACGATATGGGGTAGTAAATATTCTAACATCGTTAATATACGGTTAATATAAATTAAATCGCAAACTACAAACAAATTACTTTGTCAAATGCAAACCATATTACGCACAAAAAACAATAAACTCTCTTCAAGGAAGGTGTAATCCATGGTGGAAATAAACCTGGGTCGGAAAACAGATGTTGCGCGACGCGGTTGTGACGGTGAGGCGGCGGCGCGCTGCGGCGACGCGGCGCGCCTGCTGTACTGCATCTTGATACGCAGCGTCGGCTCCGTACACGAGAAGCGTCTGGGCACCATGTACAATACCGATAAATAATTGAAATACATTCAAAAATTGTTTATTTCTTTAGAAAAATCATACATTACATACTTATAGGAGATCCTTTCAAATAAATAGGATTAAAAATACAAATTTTACCTGATAACTATAGATATGAATCTAAGATTCTAGAATCTAAGATTAAGAGAAGAGAAATAGAAATAGAAACTTTTTTATTCCATATAAATTATTAAAAAAAAACTCATTGAAAGTCACTTTTTTCAATTTACCACTTGTTCGGAAAAAGACCTCTGTCCTGAGAACAACCAGCAAGAAACCCAGGTGGGACTTTAAAAAAAACATCAAATGCCTTCCTAAGGAAACAAAAAACGGTCTTGAGTCACGTGCATTCATCGACTTCCTGTATCTCTTACTAGATTCTCCACTCTATCTAGGGAGAATCCATCCCACATTCCGTTACTTCTTTGACATTAATGCATGTCTTATCTGGTCGTTACTTTATCTACTGGAGGCTTCTTGCTCTTTGCTTATTGATACAGAGGTGCCACTCAAGAAACTTTCTTTCTTATCGGTTGTCCGTTCTTGAATCTTTAAGGCCGGCCCATTGCCTCTACAGTATCCTCATAATTAATGTAATCTGTTTTTGAGATACAATAACGAACAGCTAATAAACATTATAATACTAATTCGATTTTGGTTGTAAGAAAATATATAAGTACATAAATTAACGTGGTAGAGCCTTGCTGCAGTTATATTAGTAGTACAGTTATAGCATGAATAGGTCGACTCGACCAAGGAAGGACCACGCTCTCACAGAATACCAGCCTAAAATAGTAGCTTAATGCAGCTGTGTTGCGAATGGTGAATGTAGAGAACTGGAGACCCTTTTTACTGCAAACGAAGCATTCTATCGATCCACATCTACATCTATCCTCGATTATAAATCGAGGATAGATGTCTATGGGCCACAGCAACGACTTAACGTCCTCTCGTTTATCACCCTGTCCTTTAAAAAATCTAAAAATGTTCAAGACAAACTGAAAATTTCAATTGAAGATTTGACAAAAAAAAATACCATAGAATGTGAAAATAAGAGTTAAAGTGTTCAGCAAGTTCAATCCACAAATTAATAAAGATTAGCGTACATATTACCTGACCCATTCGTGCTGTAACACAATATAGCTGTAGCATGGCTCTACCACATAAAGTATGCACCTGACCTTGCACATACACTTGGATATTATAATCCTGTCCTGAGTAGACCATAACCGAAATTCGGTGTGAAGAACATTATTTCTGAGCGGTACAGTCAAGGGACATGCGTACCTGTAGGCCTGACCGGTTTCTAGCTTCCAGAGCAGCAGCTCCGAGGCGTAGGAGGCGGTAGCGAGCGAGAGTGGAGGGCGCACGGCGGCCGCCAGCACGTCATCGCTGTGCCGCGTCTCCCACGCCTTGCCCAGCGCCGACAGCCCTCCCTCCTCGAACTCCGTCACGTGGCGATTCCACCCCACCGCAAGAATCCTGACACCACACTCAATGTCATGCCTTTTGTTTCTTACTAATTACATAGAAATAAAAAATACATAGATTTCATGCTGGTGTAAGCACTAGCATTGTGCGAGGTAACATGTAACGATAGTTTCTCTTCTTATTCAATGAATCAATCTCGTCTCGCGCAAAATTTATTGTTAGGGAATAAAGTTATTAACAATACATTTTGTACGAATAATACAGCAATGTTCTTATTACATTGCTAAGCCTTCCCAAACTACTTCTAATAAAATAATACTTCTAATAAAAATTATCTAAAAATAATATTAACAAAATAAATAATCAGACAAAAGTAAAAGAAATAAAGAGACAGAAACAGTCTGAAAGTGTTATAAATACAGTTATCTATAAGTGGGTACCACTCAACTTTCAACTCTCTTTTGAAAGTAGATACCTACTTAATTCTTTATTTATTAATTAGGCATCAAAGAGATTTAAAGATAATATCTTTATAAAATGTAAAACCTCTTGCTAAGTTTAGGCATAATAGACAAACTCAAATCCATCCTTCTAGTGTTTTCCCTCTATATCATTTCTTTATCAGATTCCCAAAACCTACTCGTAAGACATAAGCGGTCTTATAGCGCTTTTCTAGTCAATTAATGCTTTGGTTATATTATATTTATATAGCTATTGCCCCAGAATTTTATACTATATCTTAGCTTGGACTTAACAAACACATAGTACACGTTTAAAAGTTGACCAGTTGTTAATTCTTCTCACAGGATGCGTGAGAAGACAATAAGTTCAGCTAACTTATTGTATTTGCTGTCGCTGCTAGCTCGACTTTCGAATTCAAGAGATCGTCTAGATTAGTTCCCAAAAACTTCACGGAATTTACAGTTTTTACTACATCGCCATTTATATTGACTTCTGTTATGTCGTTGTTTCTACCTTTGGTGTGGACATGACAATATTAGTTTTATTTGTGTTTTGGAATAAGGCATTTGCTATGAACCATATTCGAAATGTTGTCATATCTACAATAATCCTGTCCTTTAATTCTTCTGCAGTTTTTGATGACAGTACTGCGGAATTATCTGCAAAAATAAACACTCGAATTTCACGAATGAGATTGCAGATTTAATCTATTAAGTCTTTCAAAAAGATTATGAAGAATATCGACAATCTCGACAAATAGACAGAGTCTTAAGGTACTGTAGTACTATAGATCTATGTTTGTTGTTATGTTTGTTGTTATAGGTGTATGTTATGATCAAGGGTGTCAAATGCAGAACTTAAAGCTAAGAATAAGTCAGCAAATTTAACTTTCTTATTTAATACTATTCATAAATCATTAGGATTAAACAGTATATTTTTTATTCAATATAGATTACCGCTTTGCAGTTTTATAACCACCCTAAGGTTTACTTGTAGAGAATGCTTTTATTATTATGGGGAAATATAACCTCAAATACCGCGTAAGCTTGGTTCCTGCGGAGCGACAGGAACCAACCTTACGCGCCGATAGTTTAGGTAATTTCTTTTTTACAGTGAAAATAATGATATTTTAAAAAAAGTAAATAACAAGCACTGCTTTATGGTTAGTTCAGTTAGTATGCAAAGTTTCATGATCTTATTTAAAGTATTTTATGAATAACAGCGGTTTATTGTTCAGTTTGGAGGTAACTTTGGATTTTTTTTTCTATCGAGAAAATTTTACGGAATCGTGTTTTCGTCTAACATAAACCTTAACATTAATCCTCAACTTTACCATATATTTATTTCAAAATTAATGCTGCAATACTTTCGGCATAACGGAGGATCTTGCTAAGCCATTTGAGGTTATATTTCCCCTTAAGTCCGCCTTTTGATCCTGTCCTGCTTCTAAGGTTTAATAAAGATTAAATAAAATAAATTGGTTACATGTGATTCCCATTGAAAGTCGTTTTTTACTTTTACCACTGGTTCGGAAAAAAATTTCTGCCCTGAGAATAACCAGCACAATAGAAAAGTTTGTACAAACTAGTGTTTACAGAGTGTATATCACTTCTTTTCCTAAAACTACTTTTGTTTAGAATCAACTGTACATTTTCTATAGCATCATCTGCATCTACAGTTCTTACGCCCTTTTGGTAGCCAAACTGTCTTTCATTAAAAACGTTATTACACATTTTTATCAACTTTTCTACAATCTTCAACAAGACCTTTTTATATATTGGTACTAATTTTACAATCTTCTACTCGTCCGAGAGAAATTTTCCTTGGCTGAAATATCATCATAACCACTATATTTTTTATCACCATGCTTTTTACTGCAGTGACAATTTCCTGTGAATCTGTTGGGTGTAGTACCAGCCTCCTTGACCTTTTAGGTATTTTGTCTAAACATTGCCATTACACTGTTATGCCTCGTACGGACTAAGCGTTCCATTGTGCGCGTAGTCGGTTACGCCTACACGGGAACACTTAGTCCGTACCTGCAGCAACGCGTATACAATTTGAGCATGCATGTCAACTCGCGACGAATCGTCGCCAGTCGGTTTTAGGTAGCAAAATGAGAAGTGCCGCAGTGGTGGCATACCATAGCTGTGTTTCCAGAAATGGCGGATACTATCTGGCCGACTTGCGACTTGTCACTATATGTTCATAATCCCACAATGCATACCATACCTGGACGCATATTCAACACACCTATATTACGCGTACATTGGAACGCTTTGTCCGTACAAGGTTTTAATGTTACTAACGCCGTTGTTTTTGCCATTATAATTTTTTTGTGAATAAAATATTATAATAATGCCCTCCAGACCAAATTTTGGTCACGGCGGCCTACCGCAACGGAGACTAGCCATCGACGAGAACAGGATTATAGTGCCCAAGTGTATGCGCAAGCACAGGTGCACTCTCTATTCCCTCACTCTCATAATCCGATGGGACGGTAAACCGACACGACCGGAGAAGATCAGGCACAGGACCAACGGCTTTACGTGCTTTCCGAGACACGGGAGTGAGACACTACCAACTTCCTGACTCCGGGCAGCTACTGAGAATTTTTTGACGGAAAAACTCAATAATTAATTTTTTGGCCCGACCCGGGATTCGAAACTAGGACCTCATGATCAGCAGTCTCTCTACTATAACCACTAAACCAACGAGGCAGTCAGTCAGTAAAATATTATTATTATTACAGCCATTCCACTGCTGAATATAGGCCGCCCCCAATGAATGCCACATAGCACGGTCCTAAGCCATCTGCAACTAGTTTCTCTTCTGAACCAGTATTAAATTAAACTATTAATAAAAATTAAAAGCTGATTTCAAAGAACTAAAGGAAATAAAATAATTTCACAGACGGGAGACGGCACTAACAAAGAGTTACAGTTGAAATAGTCCCGATTTTCTCCCTCTTTAGTTCTTTGAAGTCGGTTTACTTTTTCACTATCATCATCATTACAGCCCTTCACAAGTCCACTGCTGAACATAGACCTCCCCCAAAGAATGCCACAAAGCATGGTCCTAAGCCACTTCCATCCATCTACTTCCTGCATGTCGTCCCTTCATCTAGTGGGCGCCTACACTTAGCCTGTCAATACGAGACTGCCACTCGGAACCTTTTCCCCTTCGTTTATCGGTTCTTCGAGCTATGCGGCCGGCCCATTGCCAGTTCAGTTTACTAATCCGTTGGGCTACGTCACTTACTCTGGTTGTACTGCAGATATCCTCATTTCTAAGTTTATCACGCAGAGAGGTCATCACTGGCAACACGCACTGGTTGTACAATCCAGTTTTGAGATTATGAGGTATGCCTGACGAGATGTGTTGCAATCTGCCGAACGCTGCCCAACCGAGTTGAATCCATCGATTGACCTCTCGGTCGAAGTTGAACTTACCTAGTCAGACTATTTGTCCAGGATTAATCGAGCTTAGTGCTCCCAACAACTACCGGCATACATGTGACATGGACATTACACATGACTTACGTTTTGTTCATGTTCATTTTAAGACCTATCCGTTGGGAAACACTATTGAGGTTGTTGAGCATAGTGCTTAGGTCCTCCAGCGATTCTGCCATAAAGACATAGTCGGAAATCGAAGGTGAACGATGTACTCACCATTGATGTTACGTTATGATACCGTATCCTTTCCAGTCCAGTAGCTTGAAAACGTCTTCCAATGTAGTGGTCAAGAGTTTCGAGGATATTACGTCACCCTGTCTTATACCTCTCTGCAGTTGGATAGATTTAGTACTCTATATATCCAACAGTCCACTTGGCACCGCTGAAGGGATTGCAGCACCTAACAAAATTCGACAGAATCAAAGGCTTTCTCATAGTCCACATATGCAAGACAAAGTGGGTGGCAGATTTTACTCTTCGGATTTCTGTGAAATTTGTCGAAGGGTATGTATGTGGTCTATGGTACTAAAGCCTTTTCGGAAACCAGCTTGATCGGGAGGCTTGAAATTGTCGAGTCTGCGTGAGAGACGATTCGTAATGACTCTCGAAAACTGCACGTAGACACGGCTGGCAAGGGAAATAAGTATGTAGTTCTTCAAGAGAGCGTTGTCGTCTTTCTTGTAGAACAAAACCACCGCACTTCTGCTCCACGCCTCCGGAGTGAAAATAAAATTAAAATAATAGAATTAATTAAAAATTAATTCTATTACCCTTTTGAGTTGACTAATGAAAATCACAATGTCAATGTCTTCTAAACAGTTACTCGTACATTAAAATCTTCATGCCCAATGCAAACCTTAAGGGAAAAAATTATATGGGACCTCACCTCTAGTGCAGGCGATGTAATAAAAAAAACATCACAATCGTTTCGCAATTGACTGATCTGATTGCCAATTATCTATTGAATTCGAAAGTAAGATTTTACAAATTTAGTTCGCGATCCGGGAAGGCTGCTCTCGTGCATCTATACAACATACTCAAAACTAAATATCATCTTCTAGAACAGTTTAATTTTCAAGTAAACAGACCTTCCTTCTACCCAAAAACAGCTGGTAACCTCGCACATGTGTTCAATTTCCATTTTTCTCAAGCACACACCAGTGTTAAAGTTCCATGTCTAAACAAAAGCATTATGTTAAGTGAGGTAATTGAAATAGTTCTATTCAATTTTAGTAATTGATTAACTTCGCTAGTTCTATTTGAATTTAAGTGATTATGAAGTAGTTGTAATAATTAATTATTCAATTAATTAATGATTACCAATATCATCATAAACCCATAAACGATTAACTAACTAGTTAATCGTTTCGTTCGAAGTAACTGGGTGCTTTGGCCCATTGTTATCTAAATCTATCTTCGATTAAGAATAAAAATACAGATGCGTTGCCACCCTTAAGGATTAAGATAAAATGTCTCGTTTCAGTAAAAAGGGCATCAGGTTCTCAACACCCATTGTTCGTGCTACAATCTTAATATAGCTGCAGCATGGCTCCACCACGTACAATCGTAGCTCATCACGACAACATCACGACCATCACAGTGAAACTTGCAATCCATCAATATAGATTTTTTTAGTATCAGCATTGTGCTTTTTCAGTCGGGGAATTTCGGGAATCGGATGAATTATCAGAGTGTAGGAGATATAAAAAAAAATTTAGGAAACAAAATGTAGGTAGGTATTTTCCCAACCAGTGGTAAATAAAAAAATACTTTCAATGGTATTATTTGTGCAATGGGAAACAAAACAGGAGATGTTAATGTTAGACTGATTATAGCTCAATATAATTAAAAGCATGCCAATTACGGCAAATGGTCCCCTTAATATGAGGTAATCTATGGGGGTACATGTTCAGCAGTTGATTTTTCAGAGGCTGTAATAGAATAGAATAGAATGTAACCATTTCTATTCAATATAGATTACAACAATACCGATTGAAAGATATTTAAGCTTTACCGTTTGGTTCGGAAAAAACCACTGTCCTCGGAAGAACCAGCACGATACCCAGCGGGGCTTTTAGATACAACTCTGCGTATTGTGAAGCCCACCATATAGCTCTACATCTCCCGTTTGGATAAAACTACGTCGGAAAAAGACGTCCAGCGTTTCATAGAAGAACGAAGCCGATGTCGCATAGAGGATCAAATCTCTTTACATTTGCAGCTTCTGGAGTCTAATAGGTCCACGAACTTCAATTCCTACATACTCCAGGTTCCTGTAAAATACAAAGAAACTTTCCTCGCCTCCAGATTTCCGACCTTTCGCGATAGTGTTTCGCCGATACAGAAGCGCGTCAAAGAAGAAAGTTCTCTAAATAATGTTATATTTATATTTTATATATATTTTTAGGTTAAGGTATAATATATTGCCATGGGCCTATAATTTTAATTTTAAGTCTTTGATACTTGATATAGAGTCATTGTATTGGATTGTATTGTATTTTAATTTGTAAGAATAGGAAGGAATGGAGGAGATACAAGACCTTGAGCGTGCCGTCCCTGGCGCCGGTGAGAAGCAGCAGGTACGCAGGGTCGAAACAGGCGGCCGTCAGCTCCACGGGCACCAGTTCGCCCTGCACTAGCCGCGTGTGCGCGCGCCTCACCACCACGTTGCGCTTACCTGCGCCACGGTAATACAATGTACGCATGTTTCATCTTTTTTGTATAGTAATGGTGACAAAAGGTGAGCACACAGTCCACCTGATGGTAAGTGGATGCTGTGGCCCACAGATACATCTACCTTCGAATAAAAATCAAAATGCACATCCGTTGTCACCCCTAAGGACTAAGATGGAATGCCTCGTTTCCAGTTAAATGGGTCTACAATCACCATACAAAACACAGTAGCATTACGCTACTATTTTACGCTGGTATTCTGTGAGAGCGCGGTCCTACCCCGGTCGAGCTGACCCATAAATGCTACAACCATAATGTAGCTGCAGCGTGACTCTCCTTCACTCGCAGCGTGACTACTTCTCTCTTTCGTAAACAGCTAGACCGATTTTAATGTGTTCATTTTAGTAATTGGGTACATAGATGGTTTATATTTACAATTTTACTCTTAAGGTGGCGCTGTTACTAAAATTTAGAAATCACCCGTGTGTAGCCGGGGCGAATCGCTAGTTATGTATAAAATCTCCGAAATATCAGTCTACCAAATTTAATTTATTAATTTGTATGCTCACCTGTTAGTGGATCCCAGTTGATGATAATGCTGGCCATGCCACAGGTGATGACCACTTTGAAGAGTGGGTTGTATAGGACTTTGGCGACGGCGCGCGAGTGCGTGAAGCCATCAGTGTGCAGGGGGTTGAGTTTCTCATCGAGAATCAGCACGGCTATCTTGATGGCAGCCATGATGAACTCGCGCGTGGCAGGGTTGTACACAGCAGAGATAGGGGTCCGCTCGCCAATTTGTGACGGGATATCTATATATGTCTAGAGGAATAAGGAGAGATATAAAAACAATAGTAATGATATCCTCTAGACCGAATTCCGGTCACGGCGGTCAGTCTAAACTTACAATCTACGCAAGACAGGATAATCGTGCCCGAGTGTGAGCGCAAGCACGGTGTCATTATTGGTTCCCTGATAGTAGAAGGGAACGAAAACGGGCCCAGAAGAACCCGTCTTTTCGCTGTTGTGATCCCGGCTAAAAAAAAACTTGCCCCCCATCGAAGTGGAACTCAGAACCAGGCACGTTTACAACCACAAGACACAAGAGAACAGACATCAAAAGATAAGACGAATAAGTAAAAAAAAGTAAGGCTAGAAAACGCCGGTTTTTAGGGGGAACATGCGGTTGCTAGGGGGCAAAAGGTTCAGGGTGACCGTACCGAGTGGAATTCCCGAGTAGCCACGGATATGCCGCCCACCTTCCCTTTTTGGGCGTTATTGGTCTGTTTTAGAGGGGAATCGATCGGACGATTTTTTTTAAATACAGACGCGGGAAAATTGTTCTACTCCTTTTCTATACGCAATACGAAAGACGAAATGCTTTTCATGTTGTTGGATTTCACACAATGAAATATTTTATTTCTCAGACATGCAAGTTTTCTCAAGATATTTATTTTACCGCCGAGAAGAGCACGTGATAGTAAATCAGCACTTAACATTATGGCGGGCGCTCATCGCTACAGACACTACGGCTCACACTGCACCCTGCTCAACTGATGGCGTTTTAGTTAAATAGAGTAAGTAAGGAAATAGATTAGAGGTATAACACAGAGGTTAACAATTCGGCAGCCCCATTTTTATTTCAAATAATTCCTTCACCAACTTTTTATTTTAAAAAAAAATACCCCCAATCTAAGATGTTCTCCTGTATCGTCGAGTTTACATAAATAAATTGACAAAATATCCGCACGGGCAACAATTACTTGTAGGCCATACAAATACTTGTTCCGTGTGGAATTTGAATCCGCGATCCTTAGCGTCGTAATCCACTGCTCCACGAAGCTGTTATTTTATAATATAAAAATGACAAACGAGCACTCACACCACCTGATGGTAAGTGGATGCTGTGGCCCCTAAACATCAATATTTATACTAGAAATGCAGATACGTAGTTACCCTTGAGGACCAAGATGGAATGCCTCGTTTCCAGTTAAAAGGATCTTCGGTTCTTTACACTCATCATAAGAAACACTCAAGCATTAACACGTTAACTGTCCGTGCACTATATGTAGTGCACTGTGAAGTTAGCCATGGCGTCCGTGCACTATATGTAGGGAACCACTCCGTATTTTTTGAACTGGACGTGAGAACTACACTACTAAATTTAAAATGGACGTGTGGATTAGGAACTGTGTAAAAAGAAACGCGAAGGACATATGGGAATTTCTTAATAATATATGCGGGAGTTGAGGTAAATGTGGCTAATAAAATATTAAAGCAAACAAGTAGTACTAATCAAAAATATTTAAGCTTTATTGAAAAATCAGTAACTAAAACAAACATGACGTATAAAATTATAATAACAAAACATTTTTCACATATTTTCAGTGGCATTCCTTGCAACACGGCAGGCAGAAGCCTCCTTTACAAGCAATGCATTCGGTAACAACCTTTGGTGTCTTTCTCCTTGCTTCATTTACCGTGTTTCCACTTTCCTTCAGTTTTTGATAGCAGCCTGCGCATCGTTTTTGATGTGTCTTTCCTCGGCAATTGTTTGGTATACGTGTGATGTTGTGACGCGTCGTAACGATGAGAGAACTTGCATTTGGTCTGACGTTTTCAATAATAAGTAGTTTTTTTATTATACATTCATTACCCTGCAGCAGTGTAATTTTTTCGTTGGATGGATGCAATTGATTGTAAATTACAATGGCGTTGATCACGCATGTAGCCAAAAGATCCGCCGCTATTTTTTGTACCATATACATGATTTTCGAACAGGCGAATTATAGCTTGCGAGCTGGTCAGCAATATCAATTCCCTTCTTGCCTTCGTTGTAAGTTAGTACCATTTTTGGCTTCAAAACTGGGCGAAACCCTTTTGACATTTGCATCTCGTGGGTATGACACGTTGACAACGTCAGAACATCGCGGTTTGTCATGCCATTTTAGGACAGTCACACATTCGTTTTATTGCGCAGCTGTTTGACGTTTTTGAAGTTTCTGTTGAATTACTTGTGGTGGAAGTTCACGCCTCGTTTTACGGACTGTGCCACAGAAATCAGTTTTGCGTTCCTTGAGATATCTCGCCAAAGGTATACCGGTGTAGTAATTATCAGCAATAAGGATCCTGCCCTCATCCAGTAACAGTTCAGCCAGAGACACCACAACTGTACCTGGTTTGTCTAAACCAGGCAATTGGTGTGACCGTCCATCATATGTAGAGTAACTCCATGTAAATCCATTAGAACAGCACAACTTGTATATTTTTATGCCATATTTGTGGGCTTTTTGTGGATTATAAGTGCGAAACGAAAGTCTTCCTCGGAAACCGACCATCGATTCATCCACAGCGATTGTTTCGCCAGGAGTGTATATGCTTCGCGAGTTATTTATGAGCTTATTTATTAGCGGCTGTATTTTGTACAGCCTGTCATCGACATTATGAACTTCATTGTTAGAAAAGTGCCAACACCTTAGTATTAGAGAAAATCGATTGTAAGACATTTTCATGTCATGGAGGATTGGATGATAGTATAGTGGATCGTTTTTTCCAATAAGATTCAATGGAAGGGGAAGTTAAGAAGTCCCCCACGCATATAAAATACAATAAATACAAGTGCCATATAAATAGTGCACTAAAAGTTAGCTGCAGAGACCGTGCACTACATATAGTGCATAAAACTTAAGCTGAGAAGTCTGTGCACTACATACAGTGCATGAAAATTAAGCTGAGAAGTCCGTGCACTACATATAGGGCGTGCGGAAATTCAGCCTGTAATACACTTTCAAGAACCCTGGAGGTAGTTACGCTATCACAAGTAGCTATTTGCATAATCTTTATCTATTTGATCTAAAAAAAGCGTGAACGTAGACTGTCACTTGACCAAATCACAGTGGACAGCTAACGTGTTAGCTTCTATTTCAAGCTGGTTTTCTGTGAGAGAAAAATCCTACCCCGGTCGAGCTGACCCACTCATGCTACAAACATAATATACATAAGTGGCTCTACCACGTAAATAATCCATCATTTTGCACTTCTCAAACTATTTAAATATACTTTGCATCCTACCTGTAAGCAGACTTGCGACTGCAGATCCCAGACTTTGATAATGCGGTCCCGTGCCAAAGAGTAGGCGACGCGGGCGTTGTCCTGCAGCACCAGGGCCACCACACCGGCACGGTGGCCCTGCAGCACTGCACTGGGAGAGCTCGCCACGAACGCATTCCACACGCGCACCGTGCAGTCTGGACCACCCGTCACCACCACGTGCGCCTCCTCATCAAAAGCGAAGCACTGGACGCCCTGTTTTGAATTGAAACATCTTACCAACTGTCCAGAGAACAGGTTGATAGAATATTTTTATTCAATATAATACCTAATACAAGTAATTTTTTTTTGTTTTTATATTATATCATATTGAAAGTCAGTTTTTACTTTTAAGTCTGGTTCAGAAAAATACTCTGTCCTGAGAAGATATTCAGCTTTTTATTTATTTATTTATAGCATTGTTGTTTAGGCATAATTGTAACAATTTGCAACATGCACGGCGCGCGTCTCGAGCGGAGAACCGGTTTGACGGCGGGGCCAGGGGGGACTGATTTGTGCGGCCGGCGGCCGCGCCTACGACTCTAGAAACTTCTTAGTGAGCGAGCCGTGTCGATTAGAGCTCGCGAGTTTTTGATAACTTTTGCCGCGTCGTATAACGACGGCCTCTATTGTGTTGTATTTTGTCGTTAATATACGTGACAACGAGGTTTTTTAAGTCATCACGATCATCAACACGAGCGGCTACGCACGTGAGGGCACGTCGTTGCGAGCGGTCATGCGGGGAGCGTATTTCTTGAAATGTTAATGTTTGTCGCTGAAGATTTCACGTTGCATTGTTGAATTGTCTCATTTACCTACACATAACACATCTATTCCTCTGTCATTCATCATTTCGCATACTTCATCCATTTTATCATTCATTGCTCCACATATATTCAACATAGCCAGACGGGCTTCCGTAATCCACTTTTCGTCCCTCCGGGTGACAGAACGTGACGAGTGGCGAACCTCGTCGCCGGTTTTACTTCCCGGAGATTCTTCGCACCCCTGCCCATTAAAGGGGCGCCCGGAACTCGGGGCCATTTCCTTTATTCCATGCCTCATGGTGCGAACTAGGGGTGGTGGTAGATTTTACGCCGCAACATACGGCGAGGAGTCGAGTCTATTTTTTCGGCTTTGTCGCTCGCTTAGCACCACCCGGGGGACACGTGTAGGGTAGGCCTAGGGTTAGGTGGTTGAAGCCTACGGACGTGAGCGACTCATCCCCCTACACTAGAACAAAATCTCAAAAAATATACAAAATCTGACCTAAGCCAAGTTTAAAACCTTTATTTTACTAATCGATATATTAAAAAGAATAATTATAATATTAAGGAATTTATAGATGATAACAACCCTTAGGAATGAAGTGATTGATACCAAAAGCTATTTCTAATTTGTTTTGTATCTTCAATGATTGTAAATTGTTCTTTTTTTTAAAGTCCTACTGGATTTCTTGCTGGTTTTTCCCCGGACAGAAATGCTTTCCGAGCCAGTGGTAAATTAAACATAAGAGTGACTTTTAATAAGTATTATTTATAATCTATATTGAATAAAAAAGTTTTTGCTTGTGTTTCTATTCTGTTGTATAATGCAGCGTAATATTAAACGGAGTGACGTCGACCTTGTCAACGTGGAAGGTGGTGTGTGTCCGGGAGGCGGCGAGGTCGCACATGAGCAGTGCTTCGGGACACGTGGCGCAAGACACGACGCAGTGGAGCGACGCATAATACGACACCTGGCGCACCCATTCGTTGTGCGCGCGCGGGAACTCCACCAGCTGCAGCTCCGGCAGCAGCTGGGGCTGAAATGAATCACATCAACAACTTGAATACTTTTTTTGAAGTGAAAACTTTTTTAAGAATCATTGTGATTTTAGATTAGATGAAACGAAAAAGCGATACTAAAAAGAGACAAATATTTACATTACGAAAAAATGAGATAGAATATAGTATACAGTGTTTCCAACTATCTCGGTCTCCTCCTTGTGCGGTGCTTTAAAGATGGTCAATATAACAGTTAATTTGAGTCTTGCTTAGGCCTAATGGTGGTTAATATAGCGCATAGCGCCATATTATAGCGCGCTATCTCTCCATAACACATAGCGCATGCTATGTAGGTAGTCACCATGGCGCTATTGCGCTATGGCGCATTGGCGCTATTAAGTATTAATATCTAGCGGCAAGTATTTCTAGCAGCAGCGCTGTTGGGAGAGGATGTGTGACGCAAATTTGATCTAGTAGCACGCTATTCATCGCGCGCGACCTAATTTAGTGTTAGACGTTGTTTAGTTAGTGTATACTGTATATTTATAAGTGATCTAAGGACATGGTTGTCTGCTATAAAAAAGCCTGACTAATGTTTTTAAATGTAAATAAAATATAGATACAGAAGTGTATATAATAGTGTATGTTAATAGTTGATTTTTATAAATTCAATCAATAAACTTTTAAATACACAGTTATTTGATTTATAATTTATATTAAGGTTAAAATAACGCTTACATCAATTATAATAAAAAATAATTTACTTTATTTCGTTTTAAAAAGTACATGCCTTAAAAATGTTTTTAGGATTATAGAAAATCGTAAGCCCTAAAAGTATGAAAAAGCGTTCATTGGTTTTTCTTTACTGCTTTATTTTATTTTAGTCTAAAATGTGACTTATTACGAAATAATGTTCTTAAATAGCACGCGGTCTATCCAATGAACGACATGTAATGTAACGTGCTATGAGATATAGCGTGCTGCAAACTTAACGCGCTTGCCGGTCTCCTACACGCTTTCTTATAAATAGCGCGCTATAACATAGCGTATTTTAATAGCGCGCTAGAAATTTATAATTTATAGTCTGTAGCGTGTTATTTATTTATAGTCGTTTTTAACAACTTTACTTAGGCCGCACGACTATTTTACGTACCACTTTAATCACAACTTTTTTTAAATAACGTAACCCCTACACTAAGATTTTCTTTTGCATCGTGGAAGCAGCATACAAACATAAACTGCACAAGGATAAACATCCAGACCCGGTACAATTATTTGTAGGCCACACAAATACTTGTTCCTAACGGGATTAGAACTTGCAGCTCTAAGCACGAAAAACTCATTGCTATAAGTCACTACGCCACGGAACCATCAAACACCAATTAAAATTATACCTGGTGGGGTCACGCTACAGCACGAATGTGTCGGCTCAACCATGGAAGGACCACTCTCGCATAAAATACCAGCGTAAAATAGCACATTTAGCAGAAATAACATAATTTGCCACTATTTTTCAAATGATAAGTGACGAGTAGTATATTCTATGGTGAAAAGAACCGAAGATCCTTTTCACTGTTAACGAGGTACTTCGTCTTACTCCTCAGGAGAGACAGTGCGTGTGTAATCTGATTTGTAACGAGTAATTCCATTTTACAAGATTCTTAATCGATCTAGATACAGATGGATGTAGGTGTTTAAATTCCATAGTGGACAATGTGCTCGTTTGACCACCGCTACTCATCACCATTACCAATAAAAATATATCTGCAAAAACGTAAAAATTGGAATAGTGAACAGAAAAACTCTCTCTATTGACATTTTAACATATAAAAGCAGTGAATGCGTCCGCCTTGTACATTTCAGAAAGTTTTTATTTTTTTATTTAGAGCCTTTCATTTCTCTGCATGGATCAAAGAACGGAGAAAGTGTAAATATAACATTTTAGTTCTGAAGTATCTAATATTTGCATTCTATATTTTCATTCTATTAAATTTCCTTGGAGGGTACCTTTTTGAGAATCTACACCACCTGGGCTGGACTTGCCATATTCTTGTTTTAGAGATTCTTATTAAACCCAACAAAATAGAAAACTATGGAATCAGTGCATGTCTGTCTTTTTATCGCAGACTTTTTTCTCCGAGTGTCCAATTAAACATTGGAATTTGATATTCAAATTTTTACTAAATAAATGTCGCAGTTTATTTATTATTTTGATTCGTTATCAGGAAGACGCTACTGCTCATCTCATCATGTGATGATTTATCTTGCTTTCTCACCTCTTTTTATATAAAAAGGTGACAAACGAACACACTATCAACCTGATGGTAAGTGGAACATGCAACCTATAGACATCTACATAAAATGCAGATGTGTTATCACCCCTGAGGATTAAGATGGAATGTGTCGTTTCCAGTAAAATGGGTCTCCGCTTCTCTACACTCACCATATGAAACACAGCAACACTAAGCTGCTATTTTACGCTGGTATTCTGTTAGGGCGTGATCCTATCCCGGTCGAGCAGACACATTCGTGCTACAACCATAATATAGCTCTACCACGTATAAAATCTTATGTCACTCTCTTAGGTCACAGGTGATATGGAGAAGTATAATATTATATAAATCTGCCATTACACGGCGTATAAGTAAAATAATTCTATCAATTCTAACCCGCCTCTGCAGATCGACGTGCCGCAGCAGCTGTAGCGCCTTGTCGGGCTGGTTGCGGAAGGGCCCACGCAGTGCTGGCGAAAACTGCAGCACGCGCACGTACCCACCTACATCCCCGCAGATCAGGAGGCAGTTTTCCGTCAGCTTTTTGTGAAAGTGGTAGTACATTGTGCATATCTAGTGAAAAAAAAGTTTTTCTTTTACTTGAAATTTACGTGCACGTTAGACGTGCTCTGCGGCCTTAATAAATACATTGCGCACTAAGTTACGGTCATTTCTCCGTAACCCCTTCAATCGATTGCGAGTGGGCGGAAAGACTATTTCTTTGTTTGGTAAACCACGAGCGTGGTTTTCTACAATATCTGACAATAATTTTCTTTAATGTGACTTAGAAAACACTGTCATTTTTTATGTGCGTACTTTGTCAACGTGATTTACTTTTTATTTCAGATTATTATATACCTTACTTTTTTCGTATTTGCCTAAAAACTGTAAGTCCCGCCACACACTACATACGGAATCTCATTTTGCCCGCAAAATTCCGTGCGAAAAACTATCGTATGTGTGTGACGTCATTGATTTTATATTGACTTGCTGCGTTCAGAATCCCGAATCGGAATTCCAAAACGGAATCCCGAAACGAAAATCCGTATGTATGTGGTGAGCCTGACAGTCCTAAATGAATGCGTGGCATATTTACTGTCAGTTGCCCATCTGCGCCCGCGCCCGCGCGATTCACAGGTGTGACACAGCTTTTGTTCAGAATTTCCTGTCTAGTAGTATACATAAGTCTTTGATTCTGACATTTAATGTTAAATGTTAGGCCAATGTTTATAAGAACATTCCGCGTGCGTTCAGTGATGTGGTGGCGGCATTATCGTTACAGCCTTTTAAAGTCCGCTGTTGAATATAGGCCAATTGTGAAGCGGGTTGGCAACGCATTTTTTTTTAATTTTAGTCGTCCTAATGGAAGACGCTCCTGCCATCCTTGATTTGTTTCACTTTGTCGCCTCTTATGACACCCACGGGATGGTATGTGATGATATGAATATAGTGAGTATTATACTGTGATTGTCAATCCACTTATAAAACATGACGTTTGAGGCAAATCCCACCACCAATAGGAAGGACCCAGAATTTCCAGCAGTAGACTTTTACGGGCTAAAAAGAAGACAGCATTCCATCACCAGCAGTTGTCAGAATATTAACTTGTAATGAACTTTTGTCAGGACCTTAACCGCAAGCGGTCTCAGTAGGTATTTTTTTACTCATTATATGCCAGTGCTTGACCACAATCCACCTGGTGGTAAGTGGTGATGCAGCCCTAGACGGTAAATCGCACTGTCTTAGCGCAACAAAATCCTGTTCTCTTGCCTAGAATACGTCCAGATTGTATTCGGACGGAAAGACAGACGCCGGAAAATTATTCCACTCCTTTTTTTATAGACTAGGCGGCAAACAAGAATGCGGCTCACCTGATGGTTAGTGACTACCGCCGCCCATGAACAACCGCAACACCAGGGGGATTGCAGGTGCGTTTCCGGCCCTTTAGAAAGGAGTAAGCTCTTTTCTTGAAGGTCCCTAAGTCGTATCGATCCGGAAAAGTCGCCAATGGTAAACAGTTCCACAGAGAAGTTTTACGAGGAAGAAAACTCCTAGTAAAATGCACAGTGGTGGATCGCCAAGCATCAAGATGTTGAGGATGGTATCGGGAATTTTGACACGATGTGCGGTCGTGAAATTTGGCGGCAGGAACTAATCCGAACAATTCCTCAGAACACTTTCCACGGTAGATACAATAGAAAACGCAAAGGGATGCAACATCCCTACGTAGCACCAGTGAATCGAGCCGAAGAAAGAACTCGGCCATCGACGATTTGAATCGCTCTACGCTGGATGCGGTCAAATGGAAGGAGCTGGCACTTGGGTGCCCCGGCCCAAAGATGAGAACAGTATTCTATGTAAGGCCGAATTTGCGCTTTGTAAAATTGCGTGTGATGTGCCGGCATGAAATACTGTCTTGCTCTGCTGAGCACGTCAATTAGAGTCACTTCCCCTCAAGTGACCACGAAACGATTCACTATTCGATATTTCCACGCCAAGGATTCCGATGCTGACTGAGGCAGCAAGAGGAGTGCCATCAAACTGAGGAAATACGACTAAAGGGTTCTTTTTAGAGGTAGCGGCGGCCGGCGGCGCAAACTTGTGTCTTTTGGGCATTGAATTGAACTAGATTTAGTCGCCCCCAATCCGAGACTTTGTTTGACAAAGACCCGACTTCAGACACAAGTTTGTCTGGTACTCGGCGACGATTTTCCGAGAAATATTGGCACAGCCGGTGTATAAGGCATCACCAGTGCTGTCGTCCGCATAGAAACAGCGTTGGTGATAGCATGCAGCCTTGGGAACACCAGCGTTAATAGGCATGTAATCAGAGCATGCACCGTCTACTACGACCTTGATGCTCCGATTAGCAAGAAAACTAGTAATCCAATCGCACTATTTCTCGGGAAACCCAAAGTAAGGAAGCTTCGAAAGAAGCGCTTTGTGCCAGACCCGATCGAAGGCTTTCGCTATGTCTAAACTAACGGCCAATGACTCTCACTTGAACTCAACCGCCTCCGCTCATCTATGAGTAAGGTAGACCAGAAGATCACCAGCTGATCGATCACGATAGAAACCGTATTGGTGGTCACTGATCAGCTGGTGATCTTCAAAGTAGCTGGCAGTTTTCATTATTTTGCAGACTCCATTATTTTGGAGAACAAGGAGGTGATGCCGATAGGCCTGTAGTGGGGCGTGTCAGAGCGGTCGCCATTTTTAGGGTCGGATGAACCAAAGCTGTCTTCCAAAAATTCGGGACTACACCTTGGGAGTCGGAGTACCAGAAAAGACGCGTTAAGACCGGTGCCAACTCCGGAGCACACGTCTTCAGCACAATAGGGGGGACTCCATCAGGTCCACTCGGCTTGCTGACGTCTAAGGAGAAGAGTGCTTTGCAAACCGAGCGCTGTGTAAACCGCACATCCGACATCACTCCGCGGTCAGCGGTGCTTCCTCCCGTTTGCGAGTTGGATGCGAAGAGAGAGCCTAACAGATCAGCTTTCTCCTTTGCGGCATGAGCCAGTGAGTCGTCCTCTCTGTGCAAAGATGGAAGAGATGACTGACAGAAGTTCTCTTGGTCAGCCTTGGTGCGAGACCAGAATGCACGGGTTCCCGAAGGAAGGCGAACTACCTTCTCACCAATTCTGCCGATGTGCTCAGACCTTGCCCTGTCAATGACTCTTTTGAAGAACCTGGCGGTGGAATTAAACTTCTTTTTAAGAGCGCTGGTGTTTACATCCCGAGACGTTGATGCGTCAGCCTAGGCCCGGTAGCACTCCTGCTTATAGCGTGATGCTATTTTACAATAGCAACTAAACCATGGCTGGGATCTATCTACGATCCCAGATGGGCACCACAGAGGACGGAATAAAAAGTTCCGTACCCTGAAGTACCACATCAGCGACAGATTCAGCAACAATGCTAGGATCGTCCAGCGAGAAGCAAACCCGCCCCCAAGGGTAGGATGCAAAAAAAGTTCGCATTCAATCCCAATCGGCCGACCTATAGTGCCAAACACGGTGGCAGCCCGCAGACTGTAACCGCGACGTTAATTTGACTGGCACCACACTCCTGACAAAACAATGGTCTAACAAGCCTAGAAGGGCATCGACGGAAACCTGATATCCGACCGCATGAGAGATCAGCAGAAGGTCCAACAGGGAAGGTATGTGGTCTTCCACATCTGTAATCCGCTTAGGCGCAGTAGTCAATTGTGTCAGACCATATGCCAAAGCAAAAACAGATCTCCGCGCATGATAGGTTAAAACCGAGCCATTTGGCGTGGTGGGAGTTAAAATCGCCAGGGATCACGATTTCTGCAGATAGGATCTGCTGTGGCACAGAATCTGTAGCCGTTTGGACGTGGTCAAGTGACGTATACGTAAACTCCAGCCTGAGGCACAAAGGAATGTTCTAATTTGTACCCCGGGTAGGAGAGATATGAAGTAGGAGCTGGAGAGGACACCTGAGTCTCGGTTAAAAAGAGCAAAGCCAACTTCGCCGCCTCCACATGGTAGTGGACAGCGTTAAGGTTGGAATGAAGTCCCCTGATGTTGCAAAAAATCACGGATAGCGTGGCAGGGGTCACCTTGGTGTTGTTGCTCCGCTTGCCCAGAACAGGTTTTTATCGCGGACAGAATTTCTACCCCCCCCCCCCTCGAATACGTGGGGCAGTCTGAGCACCCACGCTCAGGAAGAGTAGAATAACTTGGAGAAAGCTCAGCGAGGGATTCTCCGACACCAGGGGTGCAGGTACCCTCCTGGGGTGGTTCTTCACTTAATTCTGCTACCATGTTAAGGGGGGGAGGGGGGAATTGGGTCTCCGGCCACCGACATTCACGAAGCGAAACGCAGAGGTAAATTTCTCCTTCACACTGGTATTCAGTGAGGTCGTGGTACCACCCCGATTTAAGCCGGTCCATCCATCAGCAAACGTCAGTCAGCTCTACCACTGTAAGACCTTTGATGTCCACATTATGAAAGATGAAGCAAACCGTTTGGTTTGAATGCGTCGAATGACATATCGACAACAAAAGACCCACTGACTGCCTCGTTGTTCGATTGTGGAAAGGGGAGGGAGGAATTAGCATGTGTTATTAATTTCGCAGATTTAATTAAATTTTTATTACCTAATACCTATATTGAAGTGGTTATTTTTGTGTTTTAAATGTCTGCACGTGTGACCTTTTAACGAAAATGAAGGAAGTACTCCGAAGGTTTATTAACCTCGAGCATTTTCCTAAAAGTAAGGACACCTTACGCAATTCATAGCCTCATCTAAGTCAAACTCAGTACCATGTACTCCCAGCTTGAGATGACGATCTTCAGTGTGAAGGTACCGGCAATGCAGTCATAGAAGCGCAGTTCACGCTCGGTGGAGCTGATCACCACAATGTTCACGTCCGGCATACACACCATATCCGTTACCCAAGTAGTGCGCACCTTCAGCTGAGCTAGTTTTTAAAAATAGAATAAAACAACTGTCAGACAAGATGATAAATTCACCCGATGGCTAGTGATTACTGCTGCCAATGAAACATAGAGAATATTACCATGAAAAATGA